GTTTAGTGTTAGTTCAAGTTTTGGTTTTTATTCAGCGTCAGGTTCTTGTATATTTTTATTGAACTAATGCTAGAACTAAGACTAGACCTAGAACTAGAATCATTCGGGTTTAGCCATCTCTAGAGATGTCCCAACCCAACCCAAATCAAATGTTTCTAGTTCTAGGTCTAATATTAGTTCTAGTGACAGTGCAAGTATAAAACTAGTTAGTTCTAGTTTTACACTAGCACTATTACTAGAACTAGAATCATTCGGGTTTAGCCGTCTTTAGAGACGTGCGGCTAAACCCAAATGATTCTAGTTCTAGGTCTAATGTTAGTTCTACAAAGTAACAGTTCTAGTTTTAATTGTTATGCTATATTATTAGTATTAGTACTATTCTATAATGGAGACACTTTCTTCTCCATATTAATCCCTTATATCGAGGTTTTACTATAAATAAGACATTTCTTACCCGTCCAAACCACCCTTTTCCCAACTCCCGGATGTATTTCAGTCGTGTCCTGGGAAAATCTTTCTCCGAACCATCTGTCAAGAAGCAAAGTAAAATTCTAAATCCTTTTTCGCAAACCATAAGAAAAAACATCTTACCAAACCACGNAATTCTACATAGTAACAGTGCTAGTGTAAAACTAGAACTAACACTAGACCTAGAACTAGAAACATTCGGGTTTGAGTCTCCAGATTAGCAATGTCTAATCTTCTGTAAATAGTACCAAGTCTTCTGCTAGTAGTATTTGGTCTTCAAGTAATATTGTCTAGTCTTCTACAAATAGTATCAAGTCGTTTGCCAGTAGTATATGGTCTTGAATTAGCAATGTTTAATCTTCTGCAAATAGTATCTAGTCTTCTGCCAACAGTATCTGTTCTTGAATTAGCAATATCAAATATTTTGCCAATAGTAGCAAGTCTTCTGCCAGCAGTGTCTGGTTTTCTTCGGGATTAGCCATCTTAAGAGACGTACAGCTAAACCCGAATCTTGAATTAACCATGTCTAGTTTTCTGCAAATACTATCCAGTTTTCTGCCAGCAAGTCTTACATTAGGGTTTAGCAGTGAGAAAAAACCTAGTTCTACGTTTAGTGTTAGTTCAAGTTTTGGTTTTTATTCAGCGTCAGGTTCTTGTATATTTTTATTGAACTAATGCTAGAACTAACACTAGACCTAAAACTACAATCATTCGGGTTTAGCCATCTCTAGAGATGTCCCAACCCAACCCAAATGTTTTTAGTTTAGGTCTAATGTTAGTTCTGGTGACAGTGCAATTATAAAACTAGTTAGTTCTAGTTTTACACTATCACTAGAACTAACACTAGAACTAGAATCATTCGGGTTTAGCAGTCTTTAGAGACGTGCGGCTAAACCCAAATGACTCTAGTTCTAGGTCTAATGTTAGTTCTAGAAAGTAACAGTTCTAGTTTTAATTGTTATGCTATATTATTAGTATTAGTACTATTCTATAATGGAGACACTTTCTTCTCCATATTAATCCCTTATATCGAGGTTTTACTATAAATAAGACATTTCTTACCCGTCCAAACCATCCTTTTCCCAACTCCCGGATGTATTTCAGTCGTGTCCTGGGAAAATCTTTCTCCGAACCATCTGTCAAGAAGCAAAGTAAAATTCTAAATCCTTTTTCGCAAACCATAAGAAAAAACATCTTACCAAACCACGACGACACTTCGATGTCACCGTACTTAAAATCATCCGGAGTGCGATTCTGTAACGGAATAAACTTTAAAATATCAAGTTTTTAAGAACAATGTGGTGTCGAAAATCAAGATTAAAAAAGACAACACAAAAGCTTTTTGGCTAACGATAACAAAAATCTCCACCAAAAAGATCTGTTAAAAAAATTGATAAAAATAAATTAAAAAAAAAAAAGAAACTCTATAAAATAGTGTTTTTGGTGCTTACTACAATCCTTTGATTGGCAAGAAATACGTTATTATTGTGGTGCGCGGGGGAAATCGGAGTGAAAATGGTGAACTCGCTGTTGGCGATGGGATTCGAGTGCCCGTGGTCCAAATTGCTGGCGACGGAAGCCGCCACGGGGCTGTCACGGAATTCCTTTACAGAAGGAAAAATCAAAATATTATTCCGATTTTAATCGCTGCAGCGTTTTAAACCACACACCACGTGTCAGTATCGTAAAACGTGACCCTTGTTGAATATTAAAATATTACAGAAGCGTGCAAAGTACAATAAAACATGCAAAAATTTATGCGTGGGACGACAACCGAAAATAAATGAGACAATTTTAAACTGAAAAAAATTGTTATTACGTCAGAAAGAGTTAATTTAAGAGTATTGGTGTTAAATATTTCATGCATTTCATTAATTAAAGTAATATGATTTTTTTTTTGCCATTATCACCGAAACAATTATTATTATTAAAAATAGAATTAACTTAACAATATCACTAGAACTAACACGAAACGTAGAAATAGAAAGTTAACTCTCTCTGCTAAACCCCAATGTAAGACCACACATTGCTGGCAGAAAACTTGATACAAGTTGCAGAAGATGAAATACTACTGGCAGAAGACTTGGTACTATTTGCAAAAAGCTATTGTAAATAGTTAATTCAATACCAAATACTGCTGGTAGTAGACTTGATACTATTTGTAGCAGATTAGATATTGCTAATGGAAAGCAATACACTATTTGCAGAAAACTTGATATCGCTAATGAAAGACCACATACTGCTAATAAGAGACTAGATACTGTTGACGACAAGGGTCCTTGTAATGCCAAAAAAAAGAGAGAGATTTCTAATAGACCAGACACTATTTGCCAAATACTAGACATTACTAATTAAGGATTAGATACTTAATAAGGACTCGGATGTAATTAAGTCTTAATGCAGATTTGCCTTGATTAAAACATGGTTATAACTGATACAGAGAAAATGTAGATTTTATATGAAATCCTTTCATGGTATGATAGAAATTTTCAAATCTACTATTACATTTGAGGCAGATTTACTGCATCTGACAAATCAAGAACATAATAGATATTTGATGCAAACTTTACAAATTTGATGCAAATTTAATAAGATCTGTAAGAAGATTTTGTGTAATCGTAAAGATCCGATAGAGGTATGATGTTATCTTAATGCAGTTGATAGAACATGGTTGAAAGTTAATGAAGAGATAATGTTGGGATTAGGCGGAGTTGTCTTGATACAAGGTTGATGAAGAATTGATGCAAATTTTACAAGTTAATAAACCAGAAGCTTTATAGTTATGTGTTTAGTGCGTCTTTCAGGACGGCTAAACACAAATGTTTCTAGTTGTAGGTCTAGTGTTAGTTCTAGTTTTAGTTCAATAAAAATATACAACAATCTAGTAATGAATAACAATTAAAACTAGAACTAACACTAGACCTAGAAGTAGAAAGTTTAGGGTTTGCCGTACGTCTTCAGACTTCCAAACTTTTAGGTCTTGTGTTAGTTCTAGTTTTAGTTTAATAAAAACTATCACTAGCACTATATCTAGAACTACCACAAGATCTAGAACTAGAAACATTCGGGTTTAGCCGTACTTCTCTTAAGACGGCTAAACCCAAATATTTCTAGTTCCAGTGTTAGTTCTAGTTTTAGTTTAATAAAAACTATCACTAACACTATATCTAGAACTACCACAAGATCTAGAACTAGAAATATTCGGGTATAGCCATACGCCACTTAAGACGGCTAAACGCAAATGTTTCTAGTTCTAGCGTTAGTTCGAGTTTTAGTTTAATAAAAACTATCACTAGCACTATATCTAGAACTATTAGAAAGCCTAAATCTAGAAACATTCGGGTTTAGCTGTACGTCTCTTAGGACGGCTAAACCCAAATGTTTCTAGTTCTAGGTCTAGTGTTAGTCCTAGTTTTAGTTCAATAAACATATACAACAATCTAGTGATGAATAACAATTAAAACTAGAACTAACACTAGACCTAGAAGTAGAAACATTCGG